TCTTTCGTTATTTAACAGCTTACCTTACTCTGTTCTGCACCACTTACGTAAAAGAGCATTTCTTTCAAATATTTTTTTACATTTTCGCAATGCTTCTGCGAAGCCACAGTCAGCAGTTTCAACTAAATATAAACCATTTTAAAACATAATATTAAATAAGGTAAAAAGTGAAAAAAAAGAATGTTTTTTAAGGTAGTACTGCAGTTTTACCATACAGTTCTAAAGTATAAAATATGCGTAATTACCAAGCAGTCTTCGCAAATTACTTCAGCCCCGTTTTCTGCCATATATCTTACCATATCGACATTGTCCCTCTCAGATGCAGCAAACCATGGTGTACACTAAAATAAACATAAAATATTTTAAACTTAATTTAAAATTTAACTTATGCCAAAGTTTCCTAAACTCATCTATCATGTCTCACCTTATCGTTGTTTTCTGCATTAACGTTAGCGCCTTTGCTTATTAAATAGCGAACAATTTTGGCATGATTATCTTCAGAAGTCTGACTCATGAAACACGCAAGGTGCAGTGCTGTATCCTGAAATAAGACTAAACACTCAAGAAAATAGAAGTAATAGCATTTCTTCACAAAATTTTGATTAAGAAATTCGCTTTTCTACTCCACCTTTCTTGAACTGTCTTACATTTTTCGCTTTCTTTTTATTACATTTAGCTTTCCGGTTTCCCTTTTGCCTACCTGCTTACTCAGTAAAAATCAGATTTTTGAAAGTAGAATAGAAGCCATTTTCAAAACTTCCGAAAAAATAGGCCTGCAGCATCCTTGATTTTTGTTTGAATTTTTACGAGCAATAAAAATATTTTTTATAATAAAGAAAACATGTTAATTTGAAAGCTCCGCATACCGCTGGATAAAACCTTACATTATTAGTGTTCACTGCGTTGACATTAGCTCCGTTTTCCGCCAAAAACGTTACAACTTGCACGTGGCCATTTTTTGAGGCAAAGTGCAGCGGTGTATTCTAAAGTGAAAGATACAAAAAGTAAAAGAAAAATTTCAAAATATCCATTGTTATAAGTTTCAATGCAGACAGCAATAGGACTTTCTAAGTTAACATAACATACTTGGCCTTGCTAATAGAGTAAGCTGTTTTGTTTTTT